TGTGTGTGTGTGTGTGTGTGTGTCTATGTGAATGGGCACCTACAAGGGGAAAGCCCACCAGAGAAACGTGGGGAGAGTGTGTGAGTGTGTCTGAGTGTGTCCACTGAGAATCATGGCCCAGCCGAGGTGACACAACCTTAACCATTACGCCAGTGTTGCTGTGCCTCACGCTTCAGCGTTCATTACTGCCACACATATACTGTTAATGCACAAAATACTCAGACAGTAGATTTTTTACTTTTGTCATAAATGTGAAATGTCAGATAGTCAATATGAAATGTGAAGACAGAAATGTGAAATGTGAGACAGTAAGTGAGGTGAGGAGAGGGTGTCTATCTGACCCAACACATAAGCAGCCCTAAAATCTACGTTGACCTATATGATGCCTTATCTTCTTCTTTCTTACTTCATTTTCATGTCTTAGTGCATTGGCAGGGATGATGCTGACAGCCTTGGGCTGGCTGGTGCCCAGGCCACCAGGCTCGTTCATCTAGTGTTTCACCAGGAAGCAATGGCTTGAGAAAGGACGGTCATTGTCACATGTCCTTTGAGCCTCTGTAGAGACTATCCTATGACTGTTACAGTGTTACAGAAACAAGTCACCTGAAAGAACCCATCTGTGTGCTTCTGAGATAAGTCCTATAGTGTTGTTGTTAAAGTTAGGTGTCGTCAAGTCAGCTCCGACTCATAGTGACCCTGTGGACAACAGAATAAAACACTGCACGGTTCTGCACCAGCCTCACGATCCTTGCTGTACCTAAATCCATCATTGCAGCCGCTGTGTCAATCCATCTCGTTGAGGGCCTCCCCCTTTTTCACTGATCCCCACTTTGCCAAGCATGGTATCTTTCTCCAGACACTGGTCCCTTCTGACAACATGACCAAAGTAGGCAAGACGGAGTCTGGCCATTCTCGCTTCCAAGAAGCATTCTGGCTGCACTTCCTCCAGCAAAAAATGTGTTAGTTCTTCTGGCAATCGATGGTATTCTTCCCCAGCACTACAACTCAAAAGCATCAACTCTTCTTCGCTATTCATGGTTCACTGTCCAGCTTGCACATGCATATGAGGTGATTAAAAACACCATGGGTTGGGTTGGGCACACCTTAGTCTTCAAAGAGCCGACTTTGCTCTTCAGCACTTTAAAGCAGCAGATTTGCCCAGTGTAAGTCGTCTGATTTCTTGACCACTGCTTCCATGGGCATTGATTGAGTCCTAGAGATAGCCATGTGTATGGGCGTGACGAAGGGTTCTCCTAATCCTTGGATGATCCATTGCTAGCATTTCAATTTGGATCAAGTCTGGACGTGGTCTGCCTGGAGCACCTAACTGCACAGCCACTGCACTCTCGGCCCGTGTCTGCACTTAGCAAGAGAGGAAAAGATATTAACACGTGCACTGATCTTACCTTGTGGCGTTGTGATTAGAGGGTGGAACTGAGTCACATGAGCTGTGTAGACCAAGTAGGTCATTTTGTCTCTCTTCTCTGTTCTGGAAAAGTTTCAGATAAGAAAACTTATCTGTCCCAGGAGTGGTTTTGACAGTGTTTTCTAGAAAAACAGTGGTCCCTTCAAGTTTCTTCTTTCTTCTATTTTCTCAAAAAAAATGGCCAGTTTTTCAAAGGTCTTTAGGCATGTTAGCATAAACTTAGGATAAAATGTAAAAAAAAAAAAAATCTTATTTTTTCCTCTTAATTAAATTGGCCAAAGGTGTATCTATCTTAGGTTGGAGGGTGTCTTAGGCTGAGTTTCTAAACAAGCAAAGCTGGTGATGCTTCAAGAGAAGTTATGTCAAGGAAATAGCTCATGCAGTTGTAGAGGCCTACAGTTCCAAAGTCTGTAAATTGAATGTCAAGCTGGAGGCTTCTCCTGACTCACACAGCTTCAGGAGCTGATAGACCCAAGATCAGCAGGCAACATAGCAGGCTGCTGGCTTCGGAGGTTGACAAATCCACAGTCAGCAGATAACATGGTAGCTTGTTGGCTCGTGGACTGCAAAGGCAACAATCCCAACACTGGCAAGCAGACCCCTGGTTCAAGTCCAGAAACCAGAGATAATGATGCTGAGCCAGAAGCTGGATCCCAATCCAGCAGAAAGGCAGAGACCTTTCCCAAAGCTTTTCCTTCTACACCAGAAGGAGGCCACCCATCCAGCAGAAAGGCAGAGACCTTTCCCAAAGCTTTTCCTTCCGCACCGGAAGGAGGCCACCCATCCAGCAGAAAGGCAGA